CCCAAGCCCGCAGCCTGCACCCACCCCCACCTGGCAAACAGATCTGTGGGGCACAGATCCCCCTGGGAGTACATGCAGCAGCAGGGAGGCAGCCCACCCCTCCCGAGCCCACAGCTTGCAGGCGGCAGCCAGCGGGGTGGGGTGGGGAGGGAGCCGGGGTATGATCTGCTGCTACAGCCGCCTCCTCCTGTGGGGGTGAGGGGCTGTGGCCCTGGGTCCCTGGCCCTGTAGCCCTGACAGCTGAGAGACTGGGGGGCAGGGGGCTGTGGGTGTGGGGCAAGGGGCACCACCAGGGATGTGGGGGGCTGTGGGGAGGAGTGAAGGGCACAAGCAGGGCCAGGGGAGGATTGTGGGGGGGAGTGAGATTTTGGGGTTTTTATCAGAGAATTCGCAATTTTTTATTAGGGAAACGAGGCTCCCTGTTCATGAGACCCTGCTTCTAGCTGAGCCTTGGGACCCTTGTGGTCAGGTTGTGAATGGATGCAAGCCTGCCTCCCTGTGTACAGGCCTGGCAGAGCAGAGGGTGCCAGACAACAGAGGGCCAAGATGTGGAGTAAAAGCATTTGCTGCCCTTTTCAGGGCTCCAATCAGGTTAGGCTAGGACTGTAGCTCTTTTATCACTAAGAGGATGATTGGCTTGGGCTCTGAATTTGTTCTCTAGACTCTCTCTTGAGCCCAGATGCCAGCTGCGCACATTCTGGACCCGTGGGGAAGTCCAGCTGTATGTCTGTATGTCTGGGCTGGTGCTTTGCTGCTCAGGTCCATCTCCAGTTCTCACTGCTGCTCTTGAAAAGCATGCTGTGCTCCTGTCATTGCAGCCTCTGTCTCAGCTCTCGGAGCACAGAGGTCCCTTGGGAAGCAGGGAGATGTCATTTCAGTCAGTGCACCACTTCCTAGCTACTGGAGAGAGGCCTGTCAGGGGAGGGCACTTATTGCTCCTGAGGAGTAATGAGACAGAAGAGCAGACTGCAGTGGATCTATTTGGTTTCCCCACATGTCCTTGGTAAAGGACATTCCCAGCTGCTCTTTGGCTCTCAGCACAGGGCTTCCCCTTCCTCAGCTCCCACTAGGCTTCATGTCCCCATGATCTTCCATGGCCAAAGACGGCCGGACAGGGGCTTTCATCAGTGCCACTCCATTATTTAGCCACTTGTGTGTACAGCCAAAGGGAATTAGCCCCATTGCCCCACTCAGGCCCCAGAGGGAGCTGGGAGGCTGTGTGTGCAGGGTTTGGGGCAGCTCTTTTCCCTGGATTGGCTTTGTAGAGGTTCATCACACAGTGCCGGATTTAGGTTTAAGCTACTTAAATTTAGGTCGGGCCTCACAATATGAGGGGCAGCTGAATAAGAAACAAAACCTGGACATTTTCATTCTAATATGACAAAAATATACATATATGTGGCTGCACGGTTATTATTCACATGGAGTTCATAAATTTGTGCAGAAATAACAATAATGCATTTTAAAATTTCATTAAAATCCATTTTCATGGATTATTTTTAACGTATAGGACTTCTTAAGATGGACATAGTTTAGGGCCTCAGCATGTCATAATCCGGCACTGTCAGCATATGGAACTGGGGATTTAAACTCCAGGAGCTTAAAGGCAAACCTAGCCCAAACTACCAGGATTTGCCTGGCTTCAGGTGAGAAACTCACACAGCCACTGAAGCTCAAACACTCATGCCTGAAACCATGTGGAAAGCTCAGGGCCTTGCCACACTCAGAAGCTTTACTGTTTACCTTGCAGACCTCCTGGCTGGTGGGGGGTAGCCAATGGCCATGGTGATTCTGAGGCCTAGCAGCAGGTGTCTGCTCAGTTTTGAAGGAAAATGGCAACATGGAGGTCTTCTTTAAGAGCATCCTGCTGGGACTGTCCTGGCTGGTGTGCAGGAAGGGGTGGCTGGGCACATTTTACTCCTAAAAATAAGGTTCCCTTATGGAGTGGTTACATTGTGTAGATTAGCCTCAGTCTAAGAAACCATGTCCGCAGCTGCTGTAACTATCTGGCCATGGCTATACAGCTTCCCTCCAGCCCCTGGCTCTGCTGCTGACATCAGCTTTGCCTACTTGCTCCCACCTGGCTACACCTGGCAGGCTCAGGATTTGCTCTAGACAGCTCAATGTGGGCCTCAGCACCCTTCCCCCTCCTCAGCATCACTCTTGGCTCTCTTAGGACAATGAACTATAAGACACATACTCAGGGCTGTTCTGAACTGTTTCCACTAGGTAAATGTTGGTTTCTGGTACAGCCAGAGTGGGAGGGACTTATTTTGTTGAAGATGAACCCAGGGTCAGGAGGGAAGCCAGGTAGATGTGTCTTCTTTCTACTTCAGTGGAACTGCATTGACTTCCAGCAGCCAAGAGGTGCAAAGGATGGTGCTGGGCTGGCTGGCTGCTTGTGGTCCTCATGACACAGTTGTGCTCACAGTCTGGGGCAAGATCCACATGAAATTGAAGCTCATTGTTTACAGCATAATGAAACAATCCATTCCCAGGCACAGCTTCCAGCAAAGTCATAGTGGCTGAGGAAGGGCCTCAGGCATCTGGCCAGCTAACTTCAAGAGGCCTCCTGGCTGGGAGCCTCAGTGCATTGTAGTGATCTCTGTAGTTTGTTCAGTCTCACTCGCACTTTGGTTTTCACCAGGTTGTGCGTGTAGAGCTGGTGAGAGTATTTTTGTGGCTGATTAGTTAAGCTCGTAACACTTTAACAAAGGGAATGCAAAGAAAAACAGTGATGATAACATTTGCTAATGAAAGTCCTGATCCAATAGGTCCCTCAGTAATTTAATTTGTTGAAAATGGAAAGCGAGGCATTATGAGTTGAGAGCTTTTCAATAATTCATCACTCTCTAAATGCTGTGAACCTGCTGCCTGCAGCCAGAAGAGTCATTGACAACTCTGTGTTAAAAATGCACTTGTACGATTTACATGCACAGCCCACATGACTACACCCCCAAGCCTGGCCACTTATTTTTATTCCTCGGTCTAGGTATGCAGCTGGTTTTGTGCTGCCTGCTGAAAAATCTCAAGCGTGTCTAAATGTGCTTATGTAATGACCAAGCAGTATACACTACAAGGGGACTTAAACTGTGACCTCCACTGCTAAAAATACAGGCCCCTCCCACATGAGCTGAAAGAAAAAGTCTGTTTAGCTAGTAGTATTAATAGACTCTTACCCAATTATGTGGGCTAACCACATAAGGTAGACACAGCACATGTTGAAACACTTGTTAATACAGTTGCTCCCAACTGGATACACAATTGTGAGTTTGGAGTTGCGACTCAGACACTTTTTTGGGAACATTTGACCTTAGTAGAAGGTGCGTCATTGTCATCATCATCACTAGCAGCAACAACAATACAACTAGGAGCCCCAATCACAGGCCAGGAGCTCACTGTGTTAAGTGTGTAATGACCACAGAGCATCACATTGATTCAATTGTGAGGAGAGGTATATCCTAATGATCTGAGCCTTGACCTCAGACATCTGTCTAAAACCACAACTTTGCTTTGAAGGGTCCTAACTAGAGGTGCACCAATATATCAGTCCATATCGGATCAGCACCAATAAAAGGAAAATTGACATTATTAGCAATTGGCTTTATTTGGCTGGTGTAACCAATAATGTCATCAATAAATGCCGCATGCATGCAGCCAGGAATGCAGTCTGGCAGCTTGGAGAGCAGCATCCAGCCAGTAAGTCAGTTGGGGGAAAGGGGTGTGGGGGAGAGAAGGGGTGTGAGGGGTCAAATTGAGGCCCCCATGGTGAGAGAGAGAATGGGGCTGGGGCCGGTGATGGGGGACACAGCTCCCTGCCACTGCATGGTCCCCCGAGGAAGGCATGGGGGATATGTGCCCACTGGATTTGTGCATGGGGTGGACACAGGCTGCCTACTGTGGGCTTGGGGCCAGGGATTTTGCTGACCTCTTCCAGGTGTGGGGGGCTGGGCTGGGGCTGTGCTCAGGGAGGATGGGGGTGGGGCGGGGGGGTGGCAGCAGTGCTGGCTACAGCCACCCCAAAATTCCATGTAGCCATTCTGTAGCTACTGCCAGCCACTGCCACCCACCCCACTCTGCCCCACCGCCACCCACACTTAGTGCAACCCCAGCCTAGCTCCCCCATTGGGAAGAGGCCAGCACAGCCCCTGGCCCTAAGCCCACAGTGGGCAGCCCACCTTTGTCCCATGCACAAATTCGGGGGACACATACTCCCCATGCCTCCCCTGGGGGACCACTTAGCAGTGGGGTGCCGCCCCATCCCCATTCCCCAGACCAGCCACCTGTGTCTCTGTCCTGTGCCCTGCCCTTCCCCATCCCGGCTGGGCAATGCCTGCCCCTGTCCCATTACCTCCCTCACCACGGAGGCCTCTATCTACCCCGCCCCCCCACCCTTCCCTCCCCCATGCCCCTTCCCTCTCAGAGACTTACCAGCCAGATGCTTCTCTCCAAGCTTCCAGGCTGCATATCCGCAATCATGCCTTTATTGGCCAACATGGCTGGTTAATAATCAGCTGTTGGTATCAGCCAAAAAAATCTTTATCGTTGCACCCCTAGTTTTAACTGTAGTGGGTCTTTGCCTGAAAAGAAAATTGGGCAAGGGCACTTGGGGTCAGCCACTGAGTCCAGGGAGGCCCCTTTCTGTGGCAGCCCATGTGGGTTTGCATAGGCACACCAAGCTGCTCCCACACATTGTAAATGAGATTCATTGAAAATCTGACACTGATTTCACCCACAGTTGCTGTTTATTTCCTGCTTAAAAATATAAACCCCCCACTGGTAACTGACTGCTGTGGAAATGATTGTGATGCTCTAAGTGGGGGTCAGGATAATTTGGAGTGATGGATGAAGTAACAAGAACAGATCAACTTTCAGGTAAGACCCGAATATTCCCTCCTTCCAAGCAGTGCCTGTCACCTGGCTGTGAGAGTCCCACCCCAGTAAAGCAGTACATGGCACATGTACATGAAACAAGAAGCAAACCCCTGCTTTGCACCCACCTGCAGGTAATGATAGGCTAAGTCTTGATGGCAGGACTTGGACTTCAACAGGGCTTTGTCAATGGTGGCGGATGCCTTTTGGCACACTTCCCGGGCATGGCTAAGAGTGAGTGTGGACCAGGAGCCCCTTTTGATGTAGTTGGACTCATTGTTGATGGGGATGCTGGTGCAGGGGGTGACCTTCAGGTCGTTATTGCTCTTGGAGGATTTCAGCATGTGCTCACTGATGGTGTTATAAGCGTGCATGAAGTACCTAGGCTGGCTGTGGTCTGGCTGCCTACCCAAAGTCATGAGGCCCATGGGGTTGCGGTAATTGCAGGTGTCACTGTCTAGGTTGTCGTCTGAGCTCCACCAGCCTGATATGTTAGATCTGGTCCTGCGTTTTGTCTCAGTGGTCTTTGCCCGGTCTTTGCTCTTGCTCCTCCGATTCTGCTTTGGGTCATCGGTGCCCTTCTTACCATTCACACTACCTTTGGCATTGCCCTCTAGGGACTGGGACTTGGCAAAGAGCTTCTGGACTGAGTGGACCAGGTGCCGTATGCGTCCAGGGCTCTCACTCCGGTGTTTGGAATCGCTCCTTTGGAACTGGAGGGTGCTGAAACCGTCTCTGTGGATGGGCAGCTGCTTCTCAAACTGGTCCAGGAGGTTTGCAGGGAGGCGGTTGATTTTGGTGGCTTGGGCATGGCTTGGGAAGGGGTTCTCATCTGGAACCTCAAAGTGCGAGTTATAATGGATCCGGGGGAAAGTGCTGCTGTTGGAAATCTGGTTGTTGAGTGGGAGGAGGCAGTCGCCATGGAGGGAATTTGGGGCTGGAAACCGGGGGTCCATGGTATAGGAGTCAGTGGGGCTGAGGAGATATGGGTTCCTGTCCTGGGTGGCATAGAGAGAGTCTTGAGGGGAGTCCAGGTTATCAGAGAGGTGGCGGCTTCTGTTATCTCCTAGCCCCTTCATGGTCCTGGTGGCTCTAGAGCATTGCTTCAGGAGCGGCACAAAAAGGCCTTCTCATGCGTTCTGTATCTGATCTCCTTCCTGTTGGAGTCTGTCCTGCTGCCAAAGAGACAAGAACAGGGGTCAAATCATTGAGAGGGATGATTTACCCACAGATCTTTCTGTCCAGCTAAACACTTCCACCTCACTAGGGCATCAGAGTGAGCACCTGATGAGCTCTAAAAACAAAGATAATGAAGGTTATTTCAGAGCTGAGAGAGTCAGGAAAGGAGAAGGAAGAGGAAAGCAGAAGAAAGGGATGGGAGGCAGAACACGAGTGAGAGAAAGGAATAGGAAAGGACAGAACACAGGACTATGGAAAGCACCTCAGGGAGAGGTACTAGGATAACAGGATACAGGGAGGAGTACTGTTTGCTCACCAGAATCCAAATACTTGTAGACCTCAAAGCCTGAACACAAATTGTTTAAAATAAGGATACTGCTATTTTTTGGCATCTGTGCATGCTTATTTAATAATGCTTAGTCCCAAACCAGCATAATGAGGGCTAGCAGGAAT